AAAAAAAAAAAAAAAAAAAAAAAAAAAAAAGGGCCGCCCCACAAAATTTACATAAGGCCATTCAACATTACAACGCGAGGTGCTCAATCGGGAAAACGACCGTTCAGGATGAGCCATCACCAGATCATCCCTCCTTGACGGATGCACAAAAAAATGGCAAAGTGCCTTATGTAGAAATTGGGTTAACATAAAAAAGGGGAAAAAAAAAAAAAAAAAAATGAAGGCAACTTTTACCTGCGCAGTTCAGGTAAAATTTTTCTGAGCGTGCAATGTTGCCGTGTTTACACCTCACAATATTGTTGCACTCGGGATGCGCAGAGGCAAAACCGACCAAGCTGTGGCGCACTTTGCCCCTCCCACCTAAGTGTGATTGCCCAAACATAATCCCTGTGCCGACGAAATTAACCATCAATCAGGCACAGAGGAAAATGCAAGCAGTCCGTTTTTTTTTTTTTTTTTTTTTTGTTTTTTGCAATTTTATGCGAAGAGGCACATGAAAGCTACCCGTTCTGGTGTACCTTGGTACCTTCCGCGGGGCTCGTGTCGAAGTGACCCATTTTTATTTTGCTTGATCAGCCCACCTTTTTTCCATTCCTCCCACCGGGTTGGGGGAGGTACACTGTTATATGCTCCTCTGCAGTATGACAGAAGAGTGAATTCGGTCTAAATTGGGGGCACTCCATTTAGGGATGCCCCTCTTTTATTCAGGTTGATGAAACGTCGGTGTGGAAAAGCCCAGCTCGTGTGTAGCTATAACAAAAAAAAGGGGGTAGTCCCATCCCTCTCCTTTTTTTTTGCTTGTGTCGTGTGTCCCTTTTTTTTTAAACCCCATCAACAGTAGCAAACAATAACCTACAAGAGATAACCCATTTGTTACTCGCGTGAGGATGAACAGACAGGTGAGGCGAGGATGAAGTGGAAGAAAAAACGTAGTAGCTAGCCAAAAAAAAAAAAAAAAAAAAAAAAAAAAAAAATAGATTGTGCAACATGCAGAAGGACAACGGAGTAGTCCCCCTTTTGGAAAGGCCAAATGTAAACGAAATTAATAAAAACATCGAAGCTAGCGGATTGGTATTATGTCTCATTCTGAGTGAAAAAGACTCCCCATCACTTGCCTCTCCATCCAATTACCTTCTGCATGTCCATAGGTACATGTACCTATCCAACATAGTTCCTAAATGTATTGAGTATTTTGGCTCGTTTGTTATTCCCTTTTATGGTAACAAATTTGGGATGTACTTTGAATGCATTCAAGGGAGGAGAAAAAGAAGAGGCACCTCTTTATCTGTTCACCCAAATGGGACACAACACGATGAAACTTCTCCCATAACGTGTCCCATTATTAATGGGAGTTCATCTGAAATTTCCCCCTCCTGTGGAAAAGACCCCAATTTGAAAACCTTCACAGAGGGAACCGAGATTGACAAACCACCCCAGGAGAGGATCATACTCGATTGGAGACTCCCCATAGGGGTACTGTTCGATATATACTGCGATGTGGAAGGGGATGATTGGAGTGTGCCAAGGTTAGAAGAGGAGGAAACAAATTGGAAGAAATGCTCCAGTGGAGAATTATTTCCTGACCATGTTAGCGTTTTAGAGGTTACTTCAAATGGAATAAATGATTTACTTGGTCAAAATGAGAAGGAGGAGATAGAGGGGGAAAAATCCTCAAGCAAAGTTCCGTTGAATGATGCAATAAAGGGTTCCCTCACTGGGGGGAAATCATGTGGAGGGGATGAAGACAAGACCGATGGGGAAGGAAACAAAACAAACGAAGAAGAGCCCCGCGTTAAACACTATCACATGCGAATGAACAAACAAATAAATAATGATTGGTACGATCAGCAATTTTTAAGCATAGCGGATAGGAACGTCCCATGGAGGTTGGTTGTCCACTTCAAAGATGAAGAAGACTACAATGCGCATTTCGGAAGAGGAGGAGGAACGAAAGTGAATTACGACGGAAATATCAACCTGTTGCCCTACAACAGCTGCATACCTCTGTACAGGGGATTTCACGACTTTGAGGAATGCTTGATCAGTCAGCTTAAAAAGGCCAACTACGTGTTTAACAAAAATAACAGGGTACTTCAAATGTTGCCGCAGCAAGTGGAAAACGAGTTACTTCAAAATTTGAAACGATTTGACATCGAAAGTATTTGTGCCTTGTATAGGGAGCACATTGATTATAATATGGTCCGTTTCGTGGATTACTTTAACGCCAAGTGTGCGCAGGTACAGCAAAAGGGGCACAGTGTCGCCAGCAGCGGGGAGAACAATTCCGTGTGTACCCTTATGAAGAACGAATATGTGGTTAAAGAAGTGCCCATAATTATACACATTTATGGACCCCCATATAATCATGTGTTGACCAAATGCCCTCTGTTCAAAATTGTGCCGTCAGAATGGACCGAAAATACAGTTGACAGTTTTGTTGCCTACACGTTAGGAGACTTTCTGCACGAGGAGTTCCCTTCCTTCTTTAGGAAAATAAAAGAACGCTCAACAGCGGCAGGATCGGTATCAGCAAATGTAGCAGCAGTGCCAAGTGCGCCCCCCGATGGGGAAAACATTTTTTATTTTGTCGAAGACGATTACTTAATTTTCAGTCCCTACATGTTCGTAATAATCAACGGGATTCAAATTCCGCTGAAAACACCCCTCTACTGGCTCGTTGCCAACTTTTCCCAATTTGATAATTTTCTGCACGTTATTCTCCGTATACCCCCCTACTGAGGAATGCGTGTGCTCCCCCTTTTGTCCAAGCTGTCCCATAAGGTGGAACATTTTCCCCTCCACTCGGTTTGGTGTTTCCATTTGTTTGTTTGTTTTTAATTTTTTGTAGATGGGCGGCCAAGCGGGGTAGATAATGGCACAGAAGGGGGAATTTTGTCCCTATTTGTTAATGGGATTGCAGTTGGCATAGCCTCTCATGTGTGTGTGTGCAAATGTGCATATGTTTTTTTTTTTTTTTTTTCCTGGCTAGCTAATTCTTTTTTTTTTTCTTCTGGCTAGCTAATTCTTTTTTTTTTTTTTTCTGGCTAGCTAATTTTGTTTTTTTTTTTTAAACAATTTTCCAACGCATTTCTCCCTTTTAAACCCAATTTGGCAGCTCCCCGTGAGGGTACAAAAAAGATAAAAGAAAAAAAAAGGAAGTTCCTCAACATTTGCACGTGAGCATATTAGGGAGAAGTTAACAGAAGAGTTGCTAATGAGGACGTAACGACATCACCCTGTTTCCATGCCCTACCCCCCTCGATGAACACAAACCCAACATGTGCGAACGGCTGTACAGAAAAATAAAAGAATTGGAGTGCGAGTCGAACTTGTACCTATCAAACAACAAGGTGCTATTCGAGAGTATACACCAGCTGCTGAGGGAAGGGGTGCCCTCCATCCCAAGCGCTTGCTACGTGGACGACAAGCTGGCGGACAGAGAAACTAATAGGTACGTACTGACCAAGTATATCTACGACGCTGATGACATTATTTACAAAGTAGAAGCACACTCGAAGGTAACACTAGAGAAGGAAGCAAATTTAACAGAAAGGTTGTTGGACGAAGAATATTTAACAGATAACGAAGTGGAGGATATGCACAAAGGAGACAATTACAACGTCCTAGACTCTGTGCAAATATACGTGGCACATAGCCATTTTGAGCATATATGGAATGAGCACACCATGCAATATTTTCTGAGCTGTTATCACGATGAACAGAATTTAAAAATACACACACACTTATTAGAGAAGGAGGAATTTGGTTATGACTTACAAATTGAGTTATTTGAAGTACCAAGGACTCCAGAGAAGATGTTACTGGTGGCTAGCCACTTGTCCAAAATACGAGAAGCTTTACAGTGTGGTCCTTGCATGCACTTTTTTCTGTCCAAAACACATGTACAGGAAAATTCTTTCACTAAATTCATAATTAGACGTAATGAAGTTATATATTTGCTGAAGAAAAATGATTACGTTTTGGTGATTTTATCTGTGCACTATGTTGATATGCATGACCGCTGTATTGTCCTAGGGGTGTGCAAAAATATTCACGCCACAACAAAGTCGATGGATTTACATGGCCATTTGGACTTTTCCTTTTATGCTGATTTTCCAGCTCATCTGGTGCCCTCCGAGTTGTTTGTCTACGAGGTGGGAGACGAAGGGGACAGTCGCAATTATGATCCGTGCAGGGGGAGAAGCGGGGATGCTGATGGGGGTGAAGCTGACGACGGTGGCGGTGCCAACTTGCCTGCTGCACCCGATCCTTGTCGCCCACCTCGGTGCAGCTCACAAGCACAGACCACTATCCCCAACGTCGGGTTCGTGGCCATCAAAATGGATGCCAAGTTGTTCGCTGGGTGTAAGGACTTTTCCGAGCTGATCCATATATCGAGTAGGGTGTCGCACATTATTGTGTCCTTTCGAGATTTCCTCAACAATGCCGTGGTGCTCTACCGAATGCGGCGCCGGAGGGCCGTGTAACGAACGGGTGTACCCTCTCTATCTGCTGCAATTTGCACCCTTTGCGTTCCGTGCGATTATTTCCCCCTCTTTCATTAGTATTTAGAATTTTTCGAGCCCTAGGGAAGGCTGCCTTTAATCCCCCCTCTTGCCATCGACATGGTAATTCTCCCAGTTTTGTTTATCTGCAATTGGGAGAGAGTTGGGACGTGGTTAAATCTTGTGCTTCACATTTTCTCCTTTGCGAGTGATCACCACTAATTTTGTTTTCCTTTTGTATTTTCCCCCATTTGGCCTTATTACCAGTAAAAAAAAAAAAAAAAAAGGAGCACATATATATATATGTATACATATGCACATACACTTTTTGCCTACATGCAGCACTCCTGGTGTGCCCCTTTTCAAATTTCTACCAAGTGCGGGATGGAGTGGGACAAACGTTTCTACAGCATGGAGGGAAGGTGCCCCGTCCGCATTCCACAGGTGCAAATTATGGGGGGAATGAAAAGCCACCTAGTGGAGAGCGCACATGACGGGACGATCTAAGCTGTTATTGTGTCACTTAATAATAACTCCCCCCCCACACACACGTGTACGCTGAAGCAATACCATGCGAGTTACACTTTTGTATGAGGATCACTTTGCCCAATTTTGCCCCTTCAAAACGAGCGCAAGGGCACCGCTCACCTGCACTATGGACTTCTCTCCCCAGCTATGGAAAGTCTGCAAATAGCTAGCTGGAATGTAAATGGGTGGAAGAAGAGTTGTGAGTTAATAAAGCAGAGAGAAGGTACAGTGGCCCAATTTTTAAGAAAACTCAAAATTGACATTCTATGTGTGCAGGAAACTAAAACGAACAACTCGATCATTGAAAATGAATTTAGCTTGTTAGACGCATATTCAAATGAGTATGAAACCTACTGGACGTGTTGTAAGAAGATGGGGGGAGAGAAGATGAAGAAGAAAGGGTACTCTGGGCTTGCTACTTATGTGGGTCATAAGGCTAAAATAATTTGTTGCTGTAGTGATCCCTTTCGAAACTTTTTTTTTTCCATGGATGGCTTTTCTGAGGAGGACCTGCTGGTCTCGAGGCGCTTCCCGAGGGACAACTCTTCCGTGTCCTTTTACGCGCTGCCAGGGGGGAGCGGCCAGGTTAACGGCGAAGTTAGCGGTGGGCGGGGCGGCCAGGCACCGCGCCAAGTGAGCGACCTATTCACTGAAGGAAGAGTACTCATCACAGTCCACAAGCAGTTCGTCCTCGTGAATGTATACGCCCCCTACTCTGGGTGCAATTACAACCGCCTCGATTACAAAATGAGGTTTCTCCATGCCGTTCGAAGCAAGCTGCTTGAGTTGAGAATAACGACGGGTCTGCCAATCATCCTCGTGGGAGACCTCAACATATCCTTCCGGAACAGAGATGTGTACTACATGAGCAATGTAATAAATTTGAATGAGCTGCAAAAAAAAATAAACAAGGTGAGCATACGACAGGAGCTGAAAGAGAGGGTGTGCAAGCAGATACCACTCATCATGGAGACTCTGAGCAAGAGAGACAATTTTGTAATTAAGAAGCATAAGGGAGAAAATGGCGAGTCGTTTAAATTGTACTTAAATTTTAAGGGGGAAGTGAAAAGGGTTGGGGGGAGCTTTGCTTCCATGGAAGAAATTTTTTTTTTTTTTTCGTTGGACCCGGTGTTCGTGGAGGACAAGTACGCGGGGGTGTACCCGAACGACTTTTTCTTCTTCCTCCAGGGAGAAGAGATGGACGGGGGCGGTGCAGACATGGCATGTGGACACGTAGACGATGGACACGCCGAAGGTGGGGACAAGGCAGAGGAGACCCATCACAGCCCCCACGAGGAGCGTGACATGTACGATTCCTTCGCCAAGGAAAATGAAGACATTTGCACTCACTTCATGAACAAGGAAATTCCCCCTGTAGAGGACTACCTCCTGCGGCGAGGGGACAACAACGTAAAGTATAATTTGAAGAAGATCAGTACCCATGGAGCGTGCAGAAGGATCCTCGGTAGGTATTCGTTCAAGAGTTGCATGGAGGGAAGGTATAATGTGAAGAAGGCCAACACTCTCTACTTAAAGCATTTAAATGATCTCTTTGTGGCGTTAGGAACGTTTTTTTCGAAGGAGGATTTATTAAACTTGGCAAATGCCATTGGGTATTCTTCCTCCCCTGAGTGTTGCACCAATTTTTTGAAGAACCTTATTTGTGAAGACAAAATGGTAGATGCGTTTTCCTTTTTATATCCTTTCCTGAATGGCAAGTTCACTTGCTGGGACACGTATAAACAGCATCGCATGACCAATGAGGGTTCTCGAATCGATTATATTTTTGTGGATTTCATTTTGTATGCTCGTCTGATCAAGGGGCACTCGCACTTGTACGCATCTCCAGTTCTTGTGACAGACGAGCTTAGAGGGTTGTTGGGTGGGGTAGCTGATGGTTCCCCCGGCAAGGGGACAAACAGGGACGATGCCGACGTCACGCATAAAGGGGTAGACGCGGAGCAGCGACGCTACCTGTGGGTGAATTCCCCGGAGAACAACTGCTCCTATGCCAACTACTTCAATCGGTTGCGAAGAAAAACGGGTAGGACCCCCATGGAGGACGAATCGGTAAGCGAAGAGGAAGAAGACATTTACCACTTCCAATTTAAGCTGCGAAGTTACATCGGCTTCATCTACACGTCCCCTAGGCTCAGTGACCACATAGCAGTTAACTGTACCTTCTTGACCAAGGCAAAGTTAGAAGGAAAAAGGGAAAGGAAAAAAATACCCATATGTTTTTCAGGCGAACCTACCATACCTCTTCTCAGCTGGTGTTCTTCATCAGAGCAGTATGCTTCCTTTTTGCCACTGTATTTAATTGAAACTCCGCTTTTTTCCGGGTACGCCTTCGAGCACTTAGACCCTGTTCATGCGCATGGCGGCACCTGTCCCAGCGTCGTGCGTGCACAGCCACACAAAAAGACGAACAAAATAACGCAGTACTTTAGTATAAAAAAGGGAAAGCGTTAGGTCGGCGTGATCCTACTTCGCTACTGGTTAGGGGTGACAATAGCAACTACACCTGACCAGGCGAACTAAATGACAGAGAAAAAAAAAAAAAAAAAAATCAGCTACAAGGCGGCTTGTAAAGCTTGCACAGCTGTGGCGGAAAGAAACTTAAAGAACGCTTAAATGATTGGGACTTTTTTTTTTTTTTTTCACCGCTCTACATGTCCGAGAGGGACACAATTATTAATTACTTGCACGCTGCCTCGGTGCAGCAGATCGTCATGAGGCACATGTTCCTTTTTTTTTTTTTTTTTTTTTTTTTTACGTCACCCGTGGTGGGGGAGAAAACGCTGTGTGAGCGGCTGTGTGAATGAGGTGGGTATACGGGGGAACCCCTCTAATCACTGCACACGCACGATGGTTGATAATATCTTAAAAGGGAGAAAAAAATAATAAAGAGATAGAGAGGGGCGTGTAAAAATAATTAAAAAAAAGGGTGGAAAAAAAAAAGGAGCGCAACGGGTTCTACGAGCTTAACCAACCTACATGAACGGCGTGAATTGTGTGAACCGCGTGAAGCGTGTAAACCGTGTAAACCGATTGAGCTGCACGAACGCGACGCGTCATCCTCGCAACACACCTCTACAATTCGCGATACACGGCGAGGGAGTGACGGGGTGAGGCTCGAAGTCACACAGGAAGTTGAACCTCTCACGACAGAGCGGCGTTTTGGAGGAAGGCAATCTGAGCTTCCCCCTCCTCCCCTCAGGTGGAAAGCAAAGTGTGTTTTATATAGGTAGCGTTTTTTTTTTTTCTCCGCATGTGGATGTGCGAGGGTTAGATGTAACAGCGAGAGTTAACGAAGGAAGAAGAGTGAAGGCTGGACGTGGTGTCGCTGAAGGGACGAAGAGAAACACAAAAGGAAAGTGTTGTATCCCCATCACCATGATTTTATCCCTCTCTGTCGTGGCCCTTTTTGCCATCATTTCTGGGGCTCATGGACTTTCGAAGACCAACCACCTGAAGCATGTCACGTCAGGTAGCACCCCCACCATCATCCTTGTCGCCACTCTGCCCCATCTCGTGCGATTCTTTGTTTTCCACGTGGGGGAAAGAAGCGCAGCTGGTGGTGACACTCATGTGTTACACAGCGGGGATGGTGTTGTTTCCCGCCCCCCTCACTAGTGCACACAGATTGACGTGTGTTGTGTGTACCTAGGTTGGAGTTGCTCCCATGTGCCCACTCACCCATTTGTCTTTTTTTTTTTTTTTTTTTTTTTTTTTTTGTAAGGTTTTATCACCACGGAGGTTGCTAAGGGGGCCCATGCCCACGGAAGAGGTAAGTGCGTGTTTGTGTATTCGTGGCTACATCACTCGATGTCCACATTTACATCATGGCGTGGTCAGCGATTTTGTTCACTTCCTCGCTTCGTCACCTCGTCACTTCGTCACTTCGTCACTTCATCACTTCGTCACTTCATCACTTCGTCACTTCATCACGAATGGCTGCTCCCCCCCCCCTGGCAGGGCGCGCGAAGGTGCGAAGCAGTGTGCACAACTACGGGTACAATGCGAGCGGTTCGCTGGAGGACAAAATGGACCTGCTGCGCGAGAGAGTTAAAGGAAGAAACAAAGAGGAGCCAGAGTTTCTTCAAGCATTCGAAGAAGTGCTAGTGTCCCTCAAACCATTATTCAAAAGAAACAGTGTGTACCTGGGTGTGTTAGAGAATATTGCTGAGCCAGAGAGAGTAATACAATTTAGAGTTCCATGGGTAGATGACAGAGGAGAGCACAGGATGAATCGTGGGTTCCGAGTTCAATACAGTTCAGTGCTAGGACCATACAAAGGAGGTCTGCGTTTCCACCCTAGTGTAAATTTAAGTATTATGAAATTTTTAGGGTTCGAGCAAATATTTAAGAATAGCTTAACAACGTTACCTATGGGTGGTGGGAAAGGTGGTTCCGATTTTGACCCCAAAGGGAAGTCTGCAAATGAGATTCTTTCCTTTTGTAAATCCTTCATGGCAAATTTGTTCAAGTACATTGGCCCCAATACAGATGTGCCTGCAGGAGATATTGGAGTTGGGGGGAGAGAGATTGGGTACATGTTTGGTCAGTATAAAAAGTTAAGTAATGCTTTTGAAGGAGTGTTAACAGGGAAGAATGTGAAGTGGGGTGGAAGTAACATCAGGTCGGAGGCTACGGGATATGGCGCTGTCTATTTTGTAAAAAATGCATTAGCAAAAATAAATGAAGATTTAAGAGGTAAGCGGTGTGTTGTTAGTGGAAGTGGCAATGTCGCTCAGTACTTAGTGGAGAAGCTTCTGGAACAAGGAGCAACTGTTTTAACCATGAGTGATAGTGATGGGTACATTTTTGAACCCAGTGGTTTTACGAAAGAACAGCTAGCTTATGTGATGGAGTTAAAAAATGTGAAGAGGGGAAGACTCAAGGATTATGCAAATTGGTCTTCTACATGCAAGTACGTTGAGAAAGGGAAACCCTGGGAGGTCCCATGTGATTTAGCATTTCCCTGTGCCACGCAGAACGAGATACATGAAAAAGATGCTGACCTGTTAATAAAGAACCAATGTAGAATGGTAGTCGAGGGGGCAAATATGCCTACCCATATTGAGGCCATGCGCTTATTGAAGAAGAGCGGGGTTGTGATTTGCCCAGCGAAAGCTGCCAATGCTGGTGGGGTAGCTGTGAGCGGACTTGAGATGAGCCAGAACTCTATGCGGTTGCAGTGGACCGCAGAGGAGGCAGATAAAAAGCTGCAGGCAATCATGAGGAGCATTTACGAGCAGTGCGACAGCGCGTCTAGACTTTACTTGGGCGAGTCTGACCTTGTCGCAGGCGCCAACATTGCGGGGTTCCTCAAGGTAGCGGACTCGTTCCTGGAGCAGGGCGGCCTCTGAGGTGGGGAGCGATCATCGCGTAGCAATTAGCGGTTATCGCGTAGCGGTTATCGCTTCCGTCAAATTACCCCTTTTCATTTGTCCCAACCGGGGGACGCACATTTTTTTTTTTTTTGCTCCCCACGCCTATTCACACTTCTTCTATATCAGCACAACGTTTTTTTTTTTTTTTTTTTGCCCCACATAACTCCTCTGAGGGGACTTCCCCCCGTTAGCCTTAACTTCATTCAAACGAAGCCGTGAGAAATGGAAAAAAAGTGAAACCATTATTGGGTGAAGGGATTAGTAGGCCGTGCCTATTGAGGTGGCCGTCTCCCCCTTTTTTCTTTCTTTTTTACTTGGTATATTTTTCCCCGCGGTGTGCTATAGAGAAGCGGACAAAATGACGTTGTGGGAGACGTGCGGGGATGAGTAAAAAAAAAAAAAAAAAAAAAAAAAAAA